ATAAATAAATAAATATTACAACTAAAAGCATTATTGTCCCCCTAAACAGTTTCTTTTTTTAACAGATTTTCAAGGGCCACTCAACTAGTTTATTTCTTTTCATTTCAGAGTAATTACCCTATAATTAAAATTAAAACTAGCCATCCAAAATTTAAACTATTCAAAAACTAACGTCATAAGAAATCACGTTTACATGAAATTAAAATAAATCGGTGAGACCCTTAAATATATATATTCTAAAAAATTGCAAGTATGTAAGTTTTTTCATGAGTATATAATAAATAACAAACAGGAGATTTTGATTTATAATTAAATAATTTTAGGATTTCATTCTATAAGTTCAAAACAATCACCTAATAAACTATGAAAATTTTTAATGGTAAGTAGAATAGGCACGTAAACAAATTTCGTTAAAAACAAATATTTTCATTTATTAGTTAAAATTATGTGATTATCAGACAAATGGCTATTGTAATAATTTAGAATTTAATTTTAGTGAGGTATGTTTATTTACTTCTCTGGTTACATGAAATATATCTATTTATCTATATGTCTATATATCTATCTATACATTTTTTTTTTCCAGACCACCGTTTCTCACTACTTTGCCATAGGCTTTCGAAATCCCTACACGACGTCTGAAAATAAAATAGCCTTGCGACCTTCATACATAAAACGATAATGTATGTCACTGTAATAAAATCAATTGATTATTTTAAAAGTCAGTCACATCATATCTTTAAAAATATATGTTAACAAAAATTATTTATAAAAATAAAGTTGGTAAAGCTTTAAAAACTTTAAAGCTTTAAAAGACTTAGAAATGAGCCTTTCAGGTGACGAAATAGCTAACTCCAATTTAAAAATTTTCTTTATTAAATTATTATCAAATAAATTGCCTTTTCTTCTTTAGAAAATTCTTTACTTTTTTTTTATAAGAATATCAGTAATATTTACCATCAATTATCAAATACTAATATTTCTGGCTTCATTTCGAAAATGTAAAAGATATTTTCAACGAAAACACTACTGGTAAATGTTGAAATAGGAGTTAATCATTCTGTCAACTAAAAGACTCAAATAAATATATGAGGACTTCAGATGCATGTAGAATAATAAAAAAAAAAAATCAGCTGACATCAAAACTTAAAAGTTTTGCATGTAACCATCGGTTTTCATGTAACCAGGGAAGTTATGAACATACTAAAATAAAATTATATTATAAATTACTAGGGGGAGGGTAATAGTGTAAGCAGGAAAAAATATGAATTTCTAGTATTTATCACAGCATTTTAAATTGTTATTATTCCATCTTATATCTTCCATTGAAAAAAAAAAAGAAAAAAAAAAAAAGGAAAATAAAATATTACACTGTCACTAAAGTTTTAACAATGCATCTTAAAAGGCGATTTCAATTGTTTTTTTAAATATTTCAGTTCAAAAATAAGCTATACATATAATATAAATAATAATAATTTCATATAGTTAGTATAAATAGTATATTAAATTATTAGTAGAATAGTTAAAAACAAATCAAGAAATTTTTGTTTCTATATTATTTGAGGTTATATAAATAAAAAACAGCTGTCTAGTAGTAATTAATTTAATTTTCATGAAGTATGTTTATAAATTTACTGGTAAAACGCATTGTTTTGATGCTTTAATATGAACCTTTTTTTTTTTATGTATAGTGTCCTCGTAATTAGTGAAAATATTTAAAGAGTTGAAGGCAGAACCTCAAGAGCTAAAATAAAAAAAAAATCATATAAACAACTGGCAAATTTTAAGCTGAAAAGTATAAAATCCAAGTATTGCGTTTTTTTAAGTGAGTCATGTTTTTTGTTGAATAGGAAGCGATAACCGAGAAAATATTTAACGTGAGTAATTAACAATTGTTTAACTGTAAACTAGAAAAAAATTACTTAAAATGATATTTGAGTATAGCATTGTTAAACCATTTTAAGAGCATTTTTCAGGGGCTTAATTCTGTTTTATAATAATCATGAATTATTCAAGATTTTTTTTATCATCATTCAACTTGACTACAGATACTTTTAATTAGGCCCGTATTAATCAAGTTGGGGTTTATTAGGAAAACTTTAGATTCTCCTCAAGTTTTGTAAAAAAAAAATATGATTTTTTTTGCACAATTTGAGGTAAATCTGATTTTGCGTAAAAATACAAAACTTGAATTTCCTACTTTTCTTCATAAAATTGGCCCATTGTTTATATGAACTTTTTTGTATATGTTGATGAGTTCTGTTATCACTCCTGTAAAAAATTTTCCTGTATTTAAGGGACAACCTCTATAGAATAATAATATAGTATTATATTAAATAAATATTATATATTACCTTATTACAGGACGTATCTACGAGCCTGTCGTATCCCCTGAGAAGAGAAGGAGCTGTAGTCATGATGATTGTTTTGTAGCCGGTTGGAGACTGAGCTAGCTGAGGGTCCTCCCCACCACATCGGTTCGCTACCGTTCGATTACAACAACAATCACCTGACTGCAATCGATTCTTGCGGTTACGATTATAGAGCTATTCCCATATAGTATCATACTAACAATAAAACTCATAATACCTAAAATAAACAATAAAAAAAATTAAGATTCGTATTTCTGTATAATTGTTGCAAATTTAGACGAAATAGTAAAAAAAAAAATTTTTATTTTCTCTTCTTTGTAGGAAAGAAAAAAATTCCTTTAAATGAAAAAATCTTTTAAAAAAAATTATTAACAAATTATTTCTGATCCCTATGAGACATCAATTTTAGACAGATTTAATGCATGTATTACGTGGCCTTGGTCTGAAAAGATTCTACCTGCATTTACTATAATTTTGTGAAACAGAAGTCCAAATTTACAATGTAATGTAGATTGTATATTTTGTTAAATTGACTAAAAATTTCATTTGTACAATACCCTGAATCACTAACAGATTCAGAATTTAATTTTTTTGGAGGGGGGGAGGAGGAGGGGCTTCAGCCCGAAAGCTTTTTTAAAAATATATATAACGATAATTACTTCGGATGAAAAAAAAACATAAACTATACAAAATGGTAAAGTAATTCTTGAAGTCCTATTAAACGTAATTACACGAATAATAATACTTTTAAAGATAATTTAAAAGTTAAAGATAATGTTTTTTTCATAAGGCATGGTTACATAGAATCTTTGAAGTTTGATTTTGCATCCATCGATGACTTCTTAATTATAACACAATTATTAATATAATTTTCAATATTAAAATTTTTCAGTTCGAACTTCCAGAATACGTTTTCTTGATGAGATTAGGTTTTAAGTGCATGCACACTAAAATTTGAGATTTTACGTTTCATAGAGACAGGATAATGAAAAATTGAAAAGTCGAATTAAATAAAAATGTTTCATACACTTTATTTATTTTTTCAACTAATTGATTAATTAAGTTATTTTATCCTTTTTAAGTTAAATGAAATAAGGGTTATTTATTTCAGAAGCTATGCTCTACTTTTAAATCATTGCCCAGTTGTAGTTACAATTAATGAAAAGTAATAAAAATTAAAAAATATGTTTTTTTACAGAAACAACATCAAAGTAAAATTAAAAAAAAAAAAATCTGATTGTCTAATATATTTTAACTATTATTATATATTTTTTCTTGCAAATAATTTCTAAAAATTATGAAAATATTGCATTTGTCATTTCTAAAATTACAGATTCAAATATACAAAGAACAGATATGTAATAATAATATAAAGATATAATTTCATGTTTAACTCTCATTAATATAATTACAAATCAAGTACAGCTACATACTATAGCAGTTAGAACCTTCTCAAACTAATTACTTTCAAAAGTTGTCTGTAATTAGAACCATGTCATATTGCTAGTTCCTTTATTTTTCAACTGATGCCATAAAAATTCAATTTGCCCAAATTTGTTAGTTGGGACTTTTTCAAACCAAGGCCACGAACTGTCAAACTGGCGTTATTTATTCAAATTATATTTTTCTCAAAGTTGGATTTCTCTAAACTCATTTTAATTCCATCGATGGAATCCAACAATCATCCAGCATCCTAAGACAGCGAATTATGCTGTGTTTAGGAAGGACCTGGTGGATTGCGACGCTTTATTAGATACTATATATATAGAAAATAAATCTAAACCCCTCAAAATAAAATACAGAATCCGCTACTGCATTACAACATAACTCATAAAATGAGATTTTCATCAATGATTAAGCAATAATATTCATGTCCTTTTAGAACGAAACTATACCAAACACTTCAAGAGTAGATTTAAAAAAAAAAAATTACAATACCAATTAAAAAATAATTTCCGCTATAACAAAAAAGAATCAGTTGAACTTAGTGGCAAAACGTGATGAAACAATTTTTATGAAATTTCAATAAAATCTTCTCCTTGAGCCGGTTTAAATATTCATATTGTACATAGGGTGTCCCGTAAGTTATGGGAAACATTTTAACAGGTCTAATTTTGGGGAGATAATTTCTGTGTTTTTTAAAATCGTGTTTTCATTAAAAGGAAGCAATAACTAAAAATTTAGGCAACTGACCATGCTTCATATTATACAAGCTAAAATTTTATTTAAACATTGGTAAAGTTTTTCTCAATTAAAACCATTCATATAGGTGTTTTAAATGGCTATATTACACTAAAATCCGTTTTTCATAAAACCTTAAAATTTTATTTATTTTAATTTTAATGAGGTTAGTGGAAGTTGCCTGATGTGTTGTTGTGACTAAGTATACATTTTAATTAGATATTTCATAATAAATATGACATTTGGTAAAAAAAATGCTTAAGAACTATATAAAATTGCATTTATTTTAACACCCATGAACGAAATGGATGAGTTAAAACTCGTGTAATTTCTTAATAATAGTAAAAGGCTTAGCTAGCCAGAAGGTTCGATGCCGACACCATCAATCGCTTATTACACACGTCCCTCCACCGTTCGCCATCCAAACCCAGTCCCTTCAGATCGGCTTTAACGCAATCTACCTTCACTCGGAAGTTTACCATTCGGTACAGCAACTATTAATCTTTTAGGAATTCTTTCTTTACTAAGCCCAACAATTTTACAAGCCCGTTTAATTCGCCGCGATATAATCACCTCAATTATATTAACCGGATACAGTTCACGCAATTCGGCGTTGTCTAACTGTATGAACTTTCCGGTTAACTAATCCTTCTTCGGTCCAAATATTCTAGTCATTACTTTATTTTCAAAAACCTTGAGACGTTGTTCATCCCATAATGTAAGCGGCCACTATTTCGCATCCATAAAAGAACTGTTGGTTAAGATAATAGTTTTATAGATTCTAGTTTTTAAGTTCCGGGACAAGAGGGGCGCGAGGTAAGTAGTTTTGTCACAGAAAAATAACAAGCATTGCAAAACGGTCATTAACAAGAATTCAAAACGGTCTTAACGACTGACTAAACTCAAAACATCAGTAAATGGATAACAAGTGTAGCAGTTTCTTAAACTTTTAGCAACTCCTATTTTATCAAACTTTTAGCAACACCTATTTTATCAAAACCACAGACACAGATATATATCTAGAAGGGTCAGTTTTTGTTTAAAATAATAAAATAAAAAACTCACATCGGCTTTCACTATCAAACTTGAACCCAATATAAAATCTCCTTCAGCACGTCTTCGATCATTGAATGTCATGACCACCGAAGGGACAAAGTAATAAAATATCTCTCCTATTTTCTTAATAATACACATAACAGGACTATAAAACCTGCAACTTGTATCAATAATATCTTCATATGGTCTTTATTTTAATTATCATATGAAGTTTTCCGTAATCAAACTATAAAATAGTTTTAAAATAACGAATTATTTTAAAATAAATTTGACCATAATCACAATCTTTATTTCAAAAAAATGTTGAAGGACTGATATTTAAAATTATACAATACAATAATTTTAACAATACTCAATAAGGTCATCAAGTAAAAACGTCACCAAAATATATATATAGGGCAATGTTTAAATAAAATTAACATAAACTAGGTAGACATTTTTAACATTTTGTCAAAACAATTTAAAGAATTGCGCTTAATTAGTTTTAAAGCACCAAACATAGTCGCAATCTTTATCTTTATTTAAAACAGTTGTGGTTTCAATTATCACATAAGTGATTTGTTATTTAAACTAATTGTTCATTCATAATTTTTTTTCATTCATTACTTTTTCTAGCAGCTACACTTAACATTTTTACGAATGCTTATTGATTCGGAATAGAACGTTTCACGAAGTAAATTTGAAGTAAAACAGTAGAATTAGACAGGACGTTTTCACAAAATTTATTTTTTTATTTTATTTTATTTGTTTAATGAAATTTACAACTGTATACAAATACAACCATTAAATATGCAAACATTGGAAATAATGACATGAACTTCGAGAAATACTACTCAGTGGTAACACTCCCTATTTAATTCTAGCTGAGAAGATCAGCCATCTTCTTTTCAGACGCATAGGGGGATAATCAGGAATCGAGGAAGAAGCAAGGCTGGAGATGGTGGGTTCGGATGGGACAGGAGTTTATCAGGAAAGGATAGGTATTTGGCTGCAGCTAAATCAGCGACATGTGGAATATTAAAGTCTTCATGAATGGTTTTAGTGACAAAACTGTCATTAAGGATTTTATGAAGGATTTTGGATTGTAAGGATTGGATTCGATAGGAATTCGATGGTTTAATGGAGCCCCAAAGCTCAACTCCGTATGTCTATATAGGTATTATTATAGTTAAGTAGATGAGTATTTTGTAATTAATCGAAAGTTTAGAGCGTTTGTCTAGTAAGTGTTGGAGCATTCGGAAACGTCGAGCAGTTTCTTGTCGTTTCAGTCTGATATGTGGATTCCAAGTGAGACGTTTATCCAAGTGGAGTCCTAGGTTGCGGATTTGTCCAACAGCGACAAGTGGAATATCCTTGAAGGATACTGTAGGACAAGAAGTCATAGGTTTACGAAGGAGGGTAGAGGTAATTTGATGGAGTTTATTGGAGTTTATTTTTATTCTCCAGTTATGACACCATTCTTCAAGGTTTGTGATATGTGATTGGAGGATTTGGGAATAAAGGGTCATTATTAACACAGATAGGATACAAATGTCATCGGCATAGGTGGCAGGATGAACATGCATTATTATGATTTACTTTGAAGTATCGATCAGTAAGGTATGAACGAATAATGAGGAAGTATGTAGGTGGTAGAAATTTATGGAGTTTGTACAGCAGTCTCGGGTGCCAGACACTATCAAACGCCTGTTATTATTATAAATCTTTATATATATATATATATATATATATATATATATATATTTAATATTAAAATTATAAATCAACAATAACGTCACATAAATATACTAAAATTTAATATCACGTCATACATATTTTATATACAACTATTTGTAAATAATAAACCATTGTGTAACAAATTACATCATTTTAGCAATGCCTGTATGATTTTATATTTTTCCTAAATGTAATTTAAAATATCTCAGGAATTTTCATCGGGTTCCATCTAGAGAAAAAAAAAAGACTTGAGACGATAAAGTTTTTTAAACAAAAAAAAATAATAACAATAAAAATGAAATATTCTCAACCCAGCCATTTTTGTGATAAGACTTATCATTTACGGATTTTTTATGAAGTGCTTGTTTTTATAGCGAGTTGTCTGGCCTCTGTGGTGAGATGTAGCGTTGTCAAGGTTTCGCAAAATTTATTCAAAATGAACTGCAATAAAATAATTGTAATTAATTTAACATATATAGTAAAGATTTGTTTTTATTTATTACAAATTATTCCAGATAAAATAGTATTTATATATAATAAACATTGTTAAAAATAAAAAGCATATGTAGATAACCATCGTAACAGTGTGTAGAAACATAATTCTAGCCAGAATTAGAATTTTTTAGAATTGACGTTACTTATTAAAACATATATATAAATCTGTGGAGAGTAATATTTGCTACATTTTATGTTATAATATTTCTTCAAAATATTATTTCGAATTCAATCAAATTCAATTTACTCTTAATAATATCTTAGTTCTTAATCAAACGTTAATCAAACGTTTTATCCAATTGGAAAAAAAAATCAGTTTAATTTTCCATGATCTTTTCTTCTCTGGATCAAAGCAGGATATTGTCAGCATTCTCAATGGAAATTCACTTGATTTCTTTTCTTGGATATAACTGTTGTTTTCTAGCCAGTAATCCGGGTATTAGAAAACATGTACTCATTATTTATTTTTTTTTAAGTTTGAATTAAACTGATTTCAATAAATATTTTATTTACCTGAAGTGTATACACAATAATTCGTGAATATAATCAATTGAACTAATTTCCCAATGAAAAAGACGAAAATACATAAATCCAATTGCGAGCGACTTTGCAAAAAGAGGCTGTTTTTTGAACATTGGCTAAACAAAATATTTTATTTTGTTTATTATTAGGATTTTTACTTTCACTTACCCAGGGCTGTATAAGAAGGTTATATTATATTATAAAAATCAAAAATTTTGAGGTGGCATATTTTGACTGTTTTTTGAATTTTTGAGGGGGGCAAATTTTGATGTGGTTATGAATTTTCGGACTAAGTGACATGAGCAAAAAATGGAACAGACCGCAGCGAGAGTAATTACATATGATCTACGATTTTTCTAATTTTCTAAAATAATACTATAGCTAACTCTATTTTTAAGAAAAGATGGGCAATAAAATATCTTGTGAGAAGGGGCAACCCTGGACTTACCTATATATGTAATATATAGCAAGAGTAAGTATTACGATCGTGAAAATTTTCGAATCTGAGTTTTCAACCGAAATACACGTTTTGAGGTTCCCTGAGTACATATAACAAAGTCCCACAAAATGGCCAGTGTGTGTGTAGGGGTGCGTACAGGGGGATAGTATAGCGCAAGTTGCACCATCAGAATTTTTGAGAGAGTAACACATTAAATTTTCAATTTTAAGAGAACATTTAAACCAGGATATAAAGAAAAACAAAAAAAGCACTGATGTTTGCGAATATATAAAAAAATATCTAAGGGCTCCATATACTTGGAAGAGCGGCAGATATGACTTTATCTTAAGTACTCAACACAAGCGGAGCATTGTCTTCCGTATTTCCAGTTTCAGCATTAACTCTAAGGGCGCCGCTTGTTGAAAATATCGGTATGCGGTACCTTTATTGTGTTTATATCATAAACACAACTAAATTGCCTTGTATTTGGCTATAGGACACGGAAATATTTTAAAATAAAGTAACAACAAATCAAAAGCTTTTGACAACGCTCTTGCAATTATTTCAGATGAAATTTTCATTTAAAAGGAAAAATTATAATAATAAAAAAAAAAAAAAATGGGTATGGGCATACGCAGAGGAGGGTAGGGGGAGCCATTGCCTCTAAATACTACTGATGTTACTTGATTGTAATTGCCTAATGTATTGTGCCTTTAATATTCTCGAGAAACAAACCAATGTTACACTTACTATCTTTTAAACTAACATTGATATTACATCTCATATAGATAGATATTAATTATAGAAATGAGGGGGATAATAATACTCTTTTGGGGGGGGGAGGAGGGAGAGGACATGAGCCATAGCCCTTGGGGGAGAAATGGGCATGTGTTTGTGTGTATGTATGTGAACAGTTTATCTCAATTTTTTTTTTTTTCAAACACGCTCTTCAAATTGACAGAGGTATGAAATTTTCATTAATTATTAGGGATTTTTTTCCAATGGACACTTATATATATGGCTGGTTGGCTCAATGTTTCCATTTAAATTCTATTTAAACCTTATACATATTATAATTTTATTTAAATATTGATTTAAATATTTTAGAAGTTTATTATGCATTTTTCATAAATCTGCATAAAGGTTGAATAACATCGTTGTCAAAATCTATCATGGTTTGAATGACGGAATATTTTTTTCTTGTAGTTATCATATCGCTTTATTTCTCTATATGTATATAATGGGTTCTCGATGGAGTTACATTTGAAGCATTTATCATTTTTTATTAACTTCAATTAGAGTTAAATCGCGATTTGTACGACCATATTTAATTCTCAATCTTGTAAGTATAGATAAATATTTATTTTCTGTACAGCATTACATTTCTATTGGAGAACCACGGGCGTAGTGTATAGTCCAGTCACTGCATGATTGCAGAAGGAAATGGTAGGAACACAATTTTTGACTTTTGGGCATTGTTTGGACTATTATGGAGGTAAACATGCTAAAAGACCCCACTCCTGGATGGTGAGCCTAATGTGTGGGAGGGCACAGGCGGATCTACGGGGGGGAGGGAGCTTTCAGGCTGAAGCCCCCCAAAATGGTAAAATATAACCATGTTTTATGAAAACAATGATCTCTATAAGTATTATTGTTGGTCTAATTACATTTAATAGGACTTATGTAATCACTTAATCACTTAGCCTTTCGATTTTGACTCCAATATAGCCCTAATATTGTCATTATTTATGGTAATACAATTAATAAATAATAACACGATTTTATTATTAAATTGCATTAAGTAAAGTTTTGTTATGAGATGACCTTTAACTACAACTTGGCTATATGCATTTACATTCAATTAAGTAATTACAACCTCAATGCAAGGACTCCCTAGAGGAAATTGCGAAGTTGTTTTTCAGATAACATTGAGAACACCTGCTGTATGAGCTACCGTCCGTAGCAAACACGATGTTTACCCACTGTCCAATCAGTAATGATCCACTCAAAAACTGAGTGATCGC